GTTCATAATTTGTTCCTGTCAGAACAATGAATTCCTGCCTCTGTCTGCCAGGCTTTTGCAAGGAAAAAGGACTGTAGTAGCTTGGTGTGCTTTATGAAGATCTAAACATTTTCTACTATTTGGAAGAACTGGACAACATTCAATCAACCTATCCAACGAAACCTCCTAACTTCTGGCAAAAGGAAGGAGAGAGAGCTGAGGGCTGGTCAGAAGAGTCCCAGAGTCTGGGTTCAGCTTCTTCACTGTGAGGCTCATCCCCTCCACTCCCAGCCTGGGCCTGCATCTCAGCTCACTCTAACAGTGCAGGACCCACCTTGACCTTCCTTCTCCCTTCCCACCCTCTTTCTGTCTAGACCTGAATCACCAGTATCTTAGCATACAGATAGAGAATGTGACAGTGAACTCCACCCTGAGGTGCAGGAATTTGGATTTTTGTTATTCTGGAAGCTAGTCCCAGTATATTAGTGCCCTAATTTGCAGGGAAAGGGTGGAGAACATATCATTAGTGCCTTCTGGACCCTATCTTTTGATTTCCCCACTCCCTAGACCAAACCTGGGTGTGGGATGCCTTGGAAGCCCCTTTCATTCATTCCCCAGCCCAGACCTGCCTCTCAGGGGTCACCTGCTCCAGAGAAGGCAAAACTCTCTCCATCTTTCCCACTTGGCTTTGGGAGATGTGGGGATGACTGCTACTAGTCAGACTCCCCAAGCTTGAGAATATTCTGTTGTAAGGCACTGGGATAAATCTCCAGAGCTCGGTTGGAATTTCAAGTGATTTGCAAAGTTCTTCCTGCAGGAAACTCTATTAGGTGCCATTTAAGGTGTGATTCTGGCCTCTCATTTTGGAGACTGCCAAAGCAGAGAGGATGTGTATTCCCAAGCTACCTTAAAGGAATCTTTCATTCCATCCACGTGAAATCCCTGATAAAGAGGGCAGGGAACTTTCTTTCCTCCATTCTCTTAGTCACGAGAAAGAACTTCCCTTAGGCTGACTTTGCCCCTCCCTGCCCTAGGAAACAGCCACATTCTATGTAAAATGCCAGCGGCAGTGCCCCATTCAGAGTGGCTAATGCTCGTTGAAAGAACAGGTGTTGGGAAGCCATTTCCACATCCAGATGTTAAAGCTGCTTCATAAGATACTCTTAAGAATGTGTTCTATTATGTTCTCTCTGTACTCGGGAACAGAAATCCTTGAACTGAAGGAGAATTCTGTCCAAAAGTTCAAGTGACACTGGAATGGGGCATCTGATCTGGGCCAAAGGATCTGGTTCCTGGCAAATTGGGAGACAGTTCCCCGCCAGCCTGGGGGAACCCTCGTCTACCTCAACCTAAAAGGATGTCTCCAGAAGAGATTTAACTTGGCAGAGTAGATCTAGATCAGGTGTTGGCAAACCACACCGGCAGACCAAATCCTATCCTAGGCTTGTTTTTGTTCAGCCCAAGAGCTAAGAACAGTTTTCACATTTTAAAATGGTTGGAAAAAAATCAGAAGAATACTCTTTCATGACACAAGAACATTACATGAACTTCAAGTTTCAATAGTAAATAAAGTTTTATAGGAATATACCCTTTCTAATTTGCATGTTATTCAAGGCTGCTTTGGACTCCACTACACAGCTGAGTAGGCAACATGTGACCCTCCAGACCCAAGCATTTTACGAAGTATACTGCTGATAGGTTTACTTTCCAGCATTTTACGAAGTATACCGCTGATTGGTTGACATCATAGATAAAAATAAAGGTCTTGATTTGGCATCGTTGAAGGTTAGACAAGTAAGATGTCATTGGTCAACTAAAATCTCTTTTTTTTCTTCCTCTTTTTCCTCTTCCTTGTCACCATCATCATCATTATTTTGAAGACTGCTAGCGAGGTGAGAGCAGCCACAGCCAAGGGTCAAAAGTAGTAGTTAAGGGTAGTTTTTGCTTCTGAGCATTATTTTTTCTCTTAACTGTTTTTAAAGTTTATGGAAATGCTCTTAGTTACTTTTAAAATGAAATGTGAAACTGGTAACACTGGCACGAGGCAGCTTTCAGAGATTCACTCAGTTCCCCCTGCAGGCACCGGTACCACCTAATTGTTCGCTCCACACAAAAGGTGGATCAGAGAAAAATCACTTCTTTATTCTTCCCTTTTACATCATCTCCCCCGCACCTGGGGAGTCTGGATGCACAGAGACCAAGTACAACATGCATCTGATGATGGGTTACACCAAAGCACACCAAGACCTAAATCCTTCCCAGATTTATGGAGATTTTCTATAGCTTAACTAGATTTCTAATTGTCCTGCCACCTGTACTGAAGTGTACAATATGTGTTAATCTCAAATTCTTTTCTGTTTCCATAATCTTGGTAAAGTTTCCTGTACTCAAGCAGTAAATCCAGTTTGGTCCATGGGTTCGAAGAAGGAGGCTAAATTCACTTTTACGCTTTCTATCATAAAGCCTACTTGGGAGGAGTTTGGGCAACCAAGAGGCCAGCACATGTCTGGCTTCTGTGGCCCCTATACTGGGCCTTCCAGGCAGAAAGCAAGAGCTCATGTGTCTCGTACAAGGTTTCTGCCTTTTCATACCATTCTGAAAGGAACTGGTAGCAGTTTCCACATATTCAGCACACCAGCCATTCTGCTGTCCCCACAAACTGTCCACTAATAGATGACACCTCACTGGTTTGCTTATTTACTTTCTGGTGGCACTGACCGTACAGAACGAAAAGACAGACTCAGATAGTGTTTACATCACCATTTTTTTCCAGATCTTTTAAGACAACTGTATCTGAGTTTGCTGTGTGATTTTGGCCAGAGAGTTTAAACTTCACTTTTGTCATGTCTGAAGATTGAATAGTACACTATCTGCCCTGCTACCTCACAAGGCTGTTTTCAGGAATTAAATGAGAATCAGTGGTCAGGGCTGTGTCTACAGTAAGTTCTTTCCATTAGCCAAATCCAGGAAACAATGAGTTCTGATTGCATGTTGCAGAAGTACCTGATAACATAAAGCATGTGTTGGTGGTGTCGGGGGAGTTTGCAGCAAAGGATAGACATCTGCCTAGGAACATTCAAACAGGAGTGGATATGGGAGCTGACAGCCTTTGGTGCCAATTCTGTCTTTTCTGATTTCTGATTTCTAATTTTGTGGTCCCTGGATTTTCAGTTTTCTTATCTTTAAAAGGCGGACAATTCAACCCATCTCACAGTGGTGCTATAAGATTGGCATTAATGTTATAAGAAGCATTGTACTTTGTTTATTATTGTTGTTTTTATTAACCTACCATATGCTGCCACATAAATAGGATTGGATTATCAGCCAAGTGACCAGTCACCATGGATGGTAGAGTCCTTTCCTAGGAATTTTAATAGTATGGTCAATTTTGATTAAATGGAGGAAGATTTTCAGGGACAGAAAGACAGGTTTTTGGTGGTGAAAACAATCCATTCCATAGGAAAGCAGCACTAAGAAGACTTGCCACTTTAAAAGGCCAGTAGTGGTTAACAGAAGAGTTGATGACAAATAATCACAAATTTATTATCATCATTGAAGACAGAATTGAACAAGTCAAATCCAACGATTTAGGAAGCAATGTTAGCTTTGGACACAGAACCTACCCATTCCCAGCCTACCTACTGTTGCCAAACTGATTCTACCTTTTAGAAGAGACACAGCCTCTTGCCTCCAGGGATGGGTCTCATCCTTATGGGCCTTGATAGGATATTATATCTTTTTTTTTTTAAAGATTTATTTATTTATGCATACAAGAGCTGGGTTATAGGCCAGAGATATGGGGGTGAGAGAATCACCAGAGACAGAGTGGGGAACAGAACAGGCAGATCCACTGAAATACACTGCTGAGGGGAGCAGCCGGCGAGTCAGGAGAGGTTTGCTGCGCCATGTGGGTAGCTCCCTGGCCGGCCAGGGATTGAACTTGTGCTGCAGAGGCTGTGAATTGCTTCATAGTGTGGTGCTTACCCCTTGCGCCACCAGGATATAATATCTTTTTTTTTTTTTTTTTTTTTTTTTTTAGGATATAATATCTTGACATCAAACATCTTGGCTCCCAGTTGAGCATACCCAAGATTATATTTCTTCACACAACCCTCTTAATCCTATTTCAATCCGCACATCTATAGCAGAGACCTCTTATCCTCTCAGGAGGAAGTGAATCTATCTGGAGATAAGCAATTCAACCCAGGTATGGAAACAATTTCATGGCTATTTAAAATTGTTGACTTCAACCTCAGGTAAGCATGATAAGAAAGTACCTTTACAAGTGGGACCTATTTCTATTTAATTTTAATTTTTTAAATTTCATTTTCAATTTGAAGCAAAATCAATGAGGACTGAATTGGGGAAACTCTTGAGTTCCCAAGTTTTGGGGTATCTTGCATTATCACCTGTAGCATTATGATTTTGGGGTGCCAGTCATTTGGAATATAAGATGAATAACTGTGTTAGGCAACTGGGGAACAGGAGCCATGCAGGAAGGTTCCCCCCAAGTACGTACCTTTCAACACAATTGTCTTGGATATAGTTGTGTGTCAGAATTGACTGAGAACTTAATATAAAATATCCTGACCTCACCTTGAAAGTTCTCAGCAGGATACATAGGGGAGGCCTCTAGACCCAGTACTTTTAGTTTTTGCAAAAGAATTGGAGAGTCTGTTTAATATTTATAAGGAACAAATCAACATGACAATCTTTTATCAGCTTAAACTATTTACAGTAGCTGTGGCTTATAAAGCGTACCAAAAGTTTGTACCTGGTAAGTATAAAGAGAACCCAAGTAGGATTCAGATGACTTTACAACCAAGGAGTACACAGCGAATCAACAAATTGAAGGGCCAAAAAGAGCTACATTTACTACATTACAAAAAGCCACAAATATCATAAATGTCTTTGAACAGAAAGAAAAATTCAAAGTTCTTTGAAGGTTGGGAAAGAAGAAATATGAAATGTAATGCTAAATGTAAAAGTTTTATTTCACAAGACCTATTTTCTTGGTTTCTAAAAACATGGAATGCTTCACCAATTTGCATGTCATCCTTGCTTAGAGGCCATGCTAATCGTCTCTGTATTGTTCCAATTTTAGTAGAGGAGCTGCCAAAGCCAGTACAGAACCCAGCATTTTTTAAAAGTTTCCTCCAGTGATTTAGAGGCACAACAGAAATTAGTGCACTATTATTCTAGTGCACTTCTTTGCTGTTTATCCAGAAGAACTTGGTAGCTTCAGGTCCTACAGCTGGTTGTTTCCTCAAGATTTCCTCCAACTTTTCAATCTTGTGCAGGGTGTGTGCCAGTTTATTCACTGCCGAGTCCATACACTGTCTGCCCCCTGCAAGCACCTTGGCGGTCCAGGTTCCTTGCCCCGTGGGTGACCTGACCCTTCTCCTTGAAGGCCTGGGCCACTAGCAGTCCTGCCTGAATTGGGCTGTTGCTGTTTTCCCCTGAGCTCATCACTGCTTTTACTGTCCTGTAGTGCGCAGGGAAGCCCCGTGTCCAGACATACTCCTCCTGGCCTCTGTTGTGTGACTGCAGCCTGATTTTCTCTTGAGGGTCAGCATCAGTCACCCCAGACAGGACCCTGACCCCTTTGCCTGCTGACTTGCTGGAGTGAGGAGGCAGCGTGGCCACGTGACAATCTTGACTTCTTCTTCAGTGGAACCCTGCTGGGTGCCCGGGGAAGTATCCCCCTTGGGAGCAGCAGGACCCAAAGCTGTGTGATGGGAAGGAAAGCCCTGGCACTGATTCTGCAGGGGTAACAGTGAGAGGACCCAGTTCCAATTTCACTCTGTGACCCCGCCTGTGAGTCCTGGCCATGGGAGAAACAGCGCACCCTTGGGTCACATGTTGTCCTTGTCCCCCAGGGGTTGTTACCCAGTTGAAGACATACCTGAGTCCTCAAAAGACCATCAGTTGTTCTGTGTCATCCCTGTTTAGGATGACAGGGAACGTGATAAGATAAGTGATATGATCAGAACCCCGTAAGTCCATTTGCTGTAGAGTTCCTTGGTCAGAACCCTGGCTAAGTCAACAAGGTGAATTGGCACCCTGTAAATCTGCAGGCGGCGGCTTTAGCAAAGGCATTGTGGCCAGGAAGGCACATCCTACATAGAATAAGCATCTATTTCAGAAAGAACATATGATGACAGTGAAGCAATGAAGCCTAATTTATAAAACTACATTTTCTTGAAAAAGAAATTTTTGCATACAAGATCCAAACAGTAAAAGGGGACAATCCCAATTAACTTTCCTCCCTAACTTTACCTTTCCTCTGTCTCTGCACAATTCTTTTCACCATAGCTTTTAGCTAGTAATCTTTGACTATATTATTTTTCTTATGCATTTATACATACATTTGCGCACATTTAATGAGAGCATTCGTTTCTTTAAACTGAATTTAAACTATTACAAATACTGTTTTAGAACTCTTGATTAAAATTTTTTCTTTCTTAACTCCTAAAATACTGTTTTGATGTGCAGGGAGGTTTAGGTTCATGTGTCTGAGATCTCTGTCTTATTCTGCCTCTGGTTTATGTCTGCATCTTTTGTCTATATCCTGTGGCTAAATCTATGCTGCAGCTGTGGCTACATTCACCTCTACATCTCTATCTTTATGAATACCTACAACCATGTCAATATTAATATAAAGCATTGCAAGAAGATGAATGCACCAGTGAACCCAGAATGACAACCTAACTAGTAGCTTACCTCTAACTTTATATTTTTTTCTCTATTCAATTCTCCTGCATCTTAGCTAACCACTTTCTGAAGTTTTACGGTGATCATTCCATTGCTTTTGTTTTTATAACTTAAAAAAGCTTTTTAAAAATACTTTAAGGGTTCCTCCCTGGTGGCGCAAGGGGTTAAGCACCGCACTATAAAGCAATCCACAGCCTCTGCAGCATGAATTCGAGCCCCAGGCAGCCAAGGAACAACCCACATGGTGCAGCAGACCTCTCCTGTCTCGCCTGCTGCTCCCCTCAGCAGTGTACTTCGGTCAATCTGCCTGTTCTGTTCCCCATTCTGTCTCTGGTGAATCCTCTGACCCTCCTGTGCCTCTGGCCTATACCCCAGTTCTTGTATGCATAAATAAATGCACTAAATCTTAGAAAAAAAACTTTAAGACTCAGAAGATGTGAAAACAGGATAGTGAGTTCCAGTGCATTATTTATCCAGCTTTCACCAATGGTAATATCTTCCAGGAGCATAATTTCAAAGCAGAAAGCAGATGGTGTAATAATAATAAAAAAAAAACTCAGGTACAGACCTTATTTGGATTTCAACAGTTTTAAATGTATGCCTGTGCTGTATGCTCATGTGCTGTATGCTCATGTATGACTGTGTGTGTGAATACGAACATGAGCTAGCATCATAGGCAGATTCCAGCAGCATGAAGAGTCAGGATACAGAGCTTCTTCATCATGCAACTCCAGCACCTCTGCCCTATTCTCTGTCTCTCCACTTCTGTCACTTCAAGAATATTATATGAACAGAATCACAGAGCATGTAACCCTCTGAAATTGGCTTTTTCCCCCACACAGATAGTGTCCTGGTGATTCATTCACGTTTTTGAATGTATCAATAATTCATTTCTTTTGTGTGTATTGATGTATATTTTAGTTTCTCTTGAATAAATAATGGGACTACCATTGCTGGGTAAATTTAAGTTTACCTGCCTGCTCAGGCCTCCCTGGTGGCGCAGCAGGTTGAGCGCAGCTTTGTGAAGCTGTACACAGCCTCTGCAGTGCGGGTTCGATTCCTGCCAGCCAGGGAGATTCCCAAGGCTCAGCAGACTTCTCTTTATCTCACCCGCTTCGTCAGTCTGCCTGTTCTGCTCCCTGCTCTGTCTCTGGTGAATTTTCTCACCCTTGCACCTCTGGCCTATACCCTAGTTCTTGTATAAATAAATAAATCTTAAAAAAAAGTAAGTTTACCTGCTCGGAAACAATTGAACTGTTTTTCAGAGATGCTGAAACATTTGCATTCCCACTGGAAATGTATGGGGCAAATCCAGCTGCCCCCCACATCCTCACCAGCACTTGGTATAATCAGTATTTTTTCCTTTTAACCCTTCAAATGTGTGTGTCATAATAGCTCATCATAACTTAATTGGCATTTACCTAATTGCTAATGATGTAAAACACTTTTTTATATACTAATTTACCACGCAGATATACTCTATTTTAAAAAAATGTCTTTTCAAGTGTTTTGCCTGTTTTCTGGTTGGATTTTTTCCCCCTTCTAGTTGAGCTTGGAGAGTTCTTCATATGTGTATTTTGTTGTATAATTGCCTAATTTGCAAGTTCTTTAGTTTGTTGTGTAACTTGCAAATTTTTTATCATCATCTGCAGCTTTTTTTTTCATCCTTTTAATAGAGTTTTCCTGAGCAAAAGTTTTAATTTTTGTTGGAAAACAGCTTATCAATCTATTTTCTCTTAGATAATGTCCTTGTCATAAGAACTCTTTACATAACCCTAAGTAATGAAAATTTTCTGCTGTTTTTTCCTAAGAATTTTAAAGTTTGCATTTAGATCTTTGGTCCATTTTAAGCTAATTTTTGTAAAAGGTATGTGGTTTACAGGTCAAGGCTCTTTTTCACTTGTGAATATCCAACTATTTCAGTTGTAAAGATTACCCTTCCTCTGTTGAATTGCTTTTGCACCCTTGTCAAAAGCCAATTGACAAAACTATGTGTGGGTCTGTTTCTAGATTCTCTATTCTGTTCCATGATCTAAATGTATATCTCTGCCAAAACCACATTGTCGTAATTATTGTAGCTATGTGAATGAGTCTCAAATCAGGTGGTATGATTCCTCCCACATTATTCTTTTTTATAATTGTTTTGTTTATTCTAGTTACTTTGTTTTGCTATAAATTTCAGAATCAGTTTGTCTATATCTGCAAATAATCCTATTAGGTCTGCTGTGCCATGTGGTTCACCTCCTGGCTGGGGATCGAACTCATGCTGCAGTGGCTGCGCATAGCTCCATAGTGGTGTGTCTTATCCCCTTGTGACAGCAGGAAGGCCCGAACTACACATTTTTTAAAATGTGAAATTCAGTGGTTTTTATTATTTGCATGGAGTTGTAATCAACAACAAAACCAGTTTTACAATATATTTTTAAAAGATTTATTTTATTTATTTATGCATACAAGAACTGGGGTGTAGGATAGAGGTGTGGGGAGGGGGTGAGAAGATTTTCCAGAGACAGAGTAGGGAGCAGAACAGGTGGATCCACTGAAATGCACTGCTTAGGGGAGCAGTGGGCGAGACAAGAGAGGTCTGCTGTGCCATGTGATTTAGCTCACTGGCCAGGGATCAAACTCATGCTTCAGTGGCTGGTGATAGCTTGTTAGCACTGAGACTTAACCCCTATGCCACCAGGGAGGCCCCAGTTTTAGAATATTTTTATCACCTCAATTCTGCACTCCTTATCAATCCATTTTCAAATTACCCCATCCTCCCCAGACCCCCCCAGTCCTACTTTCTATATCTATTTATCCATTATGAACACTTCATTTAAATGGAATCATATGATAAATGTTTTTTTTGTGTATGTAACTGGCTTCTCAGCAAAATGTTTTCAAGATCCACATGTTATAGTGTATATAATTCATTCTTTTGTTGACTAAATAATATTCCATTATATGGATATACCACATTTAGTTGACCAATTTGTCAGTTGAGGGACATATGGGTTGTATTTATTTTCTGGCTATTATGTTTTGTTTTGTTTTTTAAGATTTATTTATTTATGCATACAAGAACTAGGGTACAGGCCAGAGGTTCAGGGGATGAGAGAATTCACCAGAGACAGAGTGGGGAACAAAACAGGCAGATCTACTGAAACACACTGCTGAGGGGAGCATTGGGCTAGATAGGAGAGGTCTGCTGTGCCATGTGGGTAGCTTCCTGGCAGGTGGGGGATCGAACTCATGCTGCAGAGGCTATGGATAGATTCATGGTGCTGTGCTTAACCCCTTGCTCCACCAGGGAGGCACCTTTATGGCTATTATGAATAATATTTTTGTAACCATTCATGTTCAAGTTGTTGTGTGGACATATATTTTCAATTCTCTTGGGAGAATTCCTAGTAGTGGAATTGCCT